CACACACTGGGATTTTAGCTGTCCTGATTTGCAGATCTTCTGCAGGGAACCAGGGAACCACACCTGCTGGAGGTTCATGTGTGTGACAGGCATTCATGTCCACAAGACATCCTTTCCCAGCACTCCTCCCCAGCCTCTGACTTTTACACTCTTTCTGCCCCTTCGTTCATGATGTTCCCTGAGCCCCAGAGGAGGAAGTGTTACAGAGCTGAGCACTTACAGTTACGTATTGTCAGCCTTTTGATCAGGTATGAACCCACTGCAACTGCAAAAGGAAGCTTCTCTGACCAAGGTTGAGAGAAGCACACATTTATGGAGTGAATTATTGGCATGATTTTGTCGGGTTGAAAAGAGATGTTCTCAGACTCGCCCCTCCCCTAACCTCCCAGCCCACCCCTGCTAGCTCTGATAGGTTCCATTTGGCTTTGTGGTGGGGGGGGAGAGTGGAAAATGTGAGTGTGGGAAATGTTCCTTCCTGCAGCCTCAGTGTTTGTGGAGTTCTGGTGTGTGGGGGAGGGGGTGCTCTTTCCTGGTAGTCCCCTCACACTCCACCATGGCCTCTGTCACTTAAATAGGATTACTTTTAAATGAAGTAATTCAACCTACAACTTCTCACTGAAATAATAACTGCCTACTTCTAGCGCCCCGTTTTTCTGACATACTATGTTCTACCCATTCCTGTTAGTAATCTCAGCTTGCTGACTGCCCACAGAGGGTTCCTCCCAGTCTGACCCAGCGAACAGTTCAGACTGAGGAGATTGTACACCAGTTCTGCATAGTGGTATCTATTTTCCACACCTAGCGTCTGCTCAGAATTGTGACTGTCAGGGATGGTTCCAGTGTGACACTCACACTCAGTCTCATGTGACACAGACACTCATGGGTGACAATACTGGAGTGGATCTATTTTGTGCACTCACAGAGGTTGGCAGCTTAGTGCTGACTATGGAGCCTGGACAATCAGCTCAGACATCTCAGTGCTCCTCTGCAAACAAGGGGATTGGAGCCACAGATGCCTGCCTTTGCCAGGACCCTAACCTTACTTCCACTACATGGAGAGCAACCTCCCCTACAGACCTCCAAAGATCCTATATCCACGACCCCAGCTGTGTCCTGTGAAATGGATTCTTCTTCATTCAGGGGTCTTTTATTTCTCTTTTTCTTTCCCTGACCCGTGATGATCTGCAGTTTTCACACATATTATAATGGACCATTTGTAAATACTCAGAACAGAAAGAGAGACACACACATTAGTGAGCACCTAAACTGTGCAACAACATGTACATCTCACGCCCCAAACTCATGTTGCACCCTGGGCAGGAAATCAGTGATGACTGAAATTCTGAATGTCCCAGACAGCACAGCAGCATGAACAATCTGAGCAGTGAAGTGCTTACAACAGGTTCCAAATGAGGAACCTTAGAGATGAGACGCCAGTGTTCCAGCTGGCACCGGCAGTGAGTAACATGCAGGCATTAAGGGGAAAGCAACCCTATTCCAGCAAAAGAACTCAGCCCCGCAAAAAGCACGAATAGTGAGAAGGCAAGAACAGTTCTGAAGGTTGTTCCGAGAGATACGGGGTTGGCTGATGCTGCTAAGACAAGAAAGGGAGTTCCATGCAGCTGGCTGCTCGCCACAGGACACCCACACCCAGAACCCCGAGAACAGCTGCGTTCTCTTCAGTGTCCATCCCCAGGATGAAACGCGACGTGCGGGGCACAGTTGGATGCTCAGTGTGCCCGCTCCTCTGCACCCACGCTGCAACATCACCCTGTATCGTCTCAGAAGCAATTTTATGGCTGGGGGATGACTGATCACAGTCAAGACCCCACTGTGCTGTGCAGATGGATGAGCTCAAAGAGTGGATTCTCCACGGAGAGTTCTTAATAGAGAAGGGTCAGTCTTCAGCCACCTTCAACTGCAAGGGGGCCCAGCAAAAGAGGTAACAAATCTATTTGCTGCTACCTTCTTAGTGAGAGAGGTTAGGGGAGATGGCCAATTTTGTAAGGCGTTCTGGAGCGCATCCAAGCCACAGCCCTAGGGAAATGAGAGACAGTCGCCTAGGGAAGGCTGTTCCTCTTCCCGTGAGTATTCCTAAGAAACACCCATGTGATGCCAGGCATCCAGTCTCTCTCTGAAGATCTCATACTCTGTGCTGTTTGGCTCTTTGGCCAGACTCTGTGGTCTCTTCCATGAGCACGGTTGCTGCCCCTGATAGAAGGCGCCATGACCTTCACCTTCACAGCTCTGCTCTATCTGGGTAAGATTTGAAGAAGAGAAGGGGATTTCGGTCCACATAGCCAGCCTCTAGCCAGTCAGGGAACTCCGGGGTGTTTAAGTGGTTTCAGTGAAGTTGGAAGGCTTGCTTATGTCGGCATTAGGTGCAAAGTTCTGACAAGAGACTGACTCTCTTCTAGTGCTGAATCTGGGCCAAGAGACCTCAGTGTTGGCAGGTGAGTGTGTGTCCAGCTGTTTCAGATCTCTGCTCTCTGGGGACCTGAAGATATCCCTGCTCAGTGGGGCTTGAGAACATCAGGTGATATGGGGCGGGGGGGTGGGGAGGGGGGCAGGAGAGTGCTGGAAATGAAGGCTGACATCTGAGGGGGAATGTCCTATGACAGAACCCCTCATTTCTTTTCAGGGAATCCCTCCAAGCCAACCCTCAGTGTTCAGTCAAGACCAGTGGTTGCCAGAGGGAAGCAGGTAACCATCTCATGTGAGGTGACCACAGGGGCCCGGGAATACCGTCTTTACAAAGAAGGGGGTCCACATCCCTGGCGCACAAAGAACACACTGGAGGCCACAAACAAGGCTGAATTTTTGATCCCATCAATGGAAAAACAATATGGAGGAAGATATCGATGTTACTATAAGACCCCTGCAGGGTGGTCGGAGCACAGTGACCCTCTGGAGCTTGTAGTGACAGGTGAGAGAACACCCAGCCCTAGGCTCTGCCCTCAGGAAAGGGGTCTGCTTTCAGAAGTTTCCTGGTCTCACAGCCCAACACTGGAAGCCAATGTGGGCTGTTCTAAGTCCACTTAAGATGTTATTCCTTTCTTTTCTAGGACTCTATAGCAAACCCAGCCTCTCTGTCCAGCCCAGTGCTGTGGTGACCTCAGGAGAGACTGTTACCCTTCAGTGTGGCTCAGAGCTGAGATTTAGCAGGTTTGTCCTGACTAAGGAAGGAGAACAGAAGCCCTCCTTGATCCTGGACTCAGTGTTTATAAACTCGACTGGGCAATTCCAGGGCGTGTTTCTTGTGGGCCCTGTGACCCCCAGCCAGAGGTGGATATTCAGATGTTATGGCTATCACGTCATCAGTCCCCAGGTGTGGTCGGAACCCAGTGATCCCTTGGAAATACATGTCTCAGGTAAGTAAGCTCCGTCATTGACTCAATTAGTTGTTGACAGGGTAAGTTTTTTTTTTTTCATGATCCCTGATTTTCCTGAGGGAGTCTCAGGAGTTAGGAGGATGAGGGAAACTGAACCAGAGCCTTGTATGTGTGGGTGGTGGCAGTGGCACCCACAGGTAGGATGTGAGGAGACAGGTGTTTGACAGACGCCAGCTTTTCCACCAAACCTCAGCCCATTTGCTGCAGGGCTGCCCAGGAAGCTCTCGCTGCTGACTTCGCAAGGCCCCCGCCCTTTCCCCTGGAGAGAACCTGACTCTTCTGTGTTGCTCTTGCATAGGTTATGAAAGGTTTTCTCTGTCCACAGGATGAGGAACTGACCCCATCCACAGTCCTGGCCTGTTTTATCAAGCTGGGCTCTCAGGGTCAACTTCCCCTAGTGCCTTGTAAGCACTCCCACAGGGGCTGGTACAGATGTCATGGTGTACAACGCATCTCCTTCAAGAGGTCAGTGGACCTCCTGATTATAGTTGAGGAGCCGGGTGGCTCCACTCAGAGACTCAAAACTGCAGAGATGATGGTTAGGATGAAAGATGAGGATCTCAGGACCCAAAGACCAGGAAGTCGGGTAGGAGCAAAGTCATAGAAAGTCAAAAGAGATCCAAGTCCTCAGAGACGGGTTCAGAACAAGATAGGCAGCCCCCCACCCATCTTTCTTCCTCTAGGACAGTTCCCTGTCACACTCTGCCTCTCAGTGGAAGCCAAGCCCCATAGATGTCCTGGAGAGAAAGTGACCCTGACATGTCAATCATTGAAAATAATGGACACTTTCCTTCTGACCAAGGGGCGGGCACCTACTTCCTTTATGTGTTTAAGATCAATGTTTCCTAGCTCAGCAGTATCAGGCAGAATTCTGAATAAGTGTTCTGACCTCCCCTCTTAGAGACACCTAAAGATGCTGTAGTTGTTGGAACTCATCACCCTACTTGTCATACCACAATCCCCCTGTGGAACTCAAGGTCTTAGATCAGAGGAATCTTACCTGTTCTGTCTGTGCTCAATGGTTCACTCATTGCCCTACTCCCCGGAGAACTCTTGGCTCTAATGAGATGTTTTAGTGAAATTCAGGAAAACTTTGTTCTAAAGGGACTCGAATGCAAAATTGGAACACAAAGATCCGAGTAGGTCTGAAGCATCCAGCAAGGAGACCATTGGGAACCCCCTACAAGAGGGAGGGCTCATCCAGATCTGCATGAAGTTATGGGATGAGAGTAATGTACATTTACAGGAAAGAAGAAACACAGGAAATGGGCCAGGGGTATAGAGTTATTGCCTAGCATGCAGGAGGTCCTGGCACTATAAATAAACTCGGAACCATGTTCAGTACCTGTAACTGCAGCACGCAGAAAATGGAAGCAGGAGGATCAGAAGTTCGAAGTCATCCTAGGGCTACATAGTGAGTTGAGGATGAGCTTGGGCTACATGAGACCCTATTCTAAAGAAAAGAAAGAAGAAAAGAAGACAGATAGACAGGAAGGAAGGAAGGAAGGAAGGAAGGACGGAAAGCAATGACAGACATACAAAAGAAAGAAAGAGATGAATGAATGAATGAATGAATGAATGAATGAATGAATGAATGAATGAGGGGGAGAAGAAACAGAGTAAGAAATTAAATTAAGAAATTTGGACTTGCCAGGCAGGGTAGTGCACATCTTTAATCTCAGAACTCAAGAGGTAAGGGCAGACAGATCTCTGTGAGTTCAAGGCTAGTCTGCTTAATGAAAGTTTAATGACAGCCAAGGCTACAAAAAGAGATTCTGTCTCAAACAAACAACAAAAAACCCTAAAAAATTGGACTATTTCATAAAATTATTCTATAAAATATTACAGTGAAATCAGCATAAATAAAAACTTCAAATATTTTTCCTTCTTTATTTTTGTATTTATTTATTTCAGTTTTAAAATGAATTTCACACATGACTGTATTTACACTATTTCTACCCCTGCTCCTTCCTCTCCAGTTCTTCCTATGTATCTTTCACTTCCTCTCAAATTTATGACCTCTTCTGTAATTATTATGCTATGTGTGTGTATATATAAATACAACATGCTGTTTATAAACACAGTGTTACATTTAGTGTTGCTCATATGTGTGTGTGTATGTGTGTGTGTGTGTGTGTGTGTGTGTGTGTGTGTGTGTGTGTGTGTTTAAGGCTGACCACTTGAGACTGAATCACCAACCAAGGGCTCTTCCCTGGAAAAGACTGAATCTTCTTCTCCCAGCTGCCACCAGTTGCCTGCAGCTTCCTCATTTAGGGGTGGGATCTTGTGAGATTTCACCCACCCACACCGGCATGTCAATATCAACTGGTTTTATCAGTTGTTTAGGCAACTATATATATATTGAATTCATGGGTACAACTCCTTACAACTCCTTGCCATAGAAGACACTGTCTCACAGCAGATGTCCCAGTGTCCTAGTCCTCTGGTTCATATAATCTTTCTGTTCTCTCTTCTGAAAATATTCCCTGAGCCTTAGGCATAGGGATTGTATTGTAGCTGTGTCAGTTAGGGGTGTGCAACTCATGATTAGCTGTTCTCTAATCTCTAATGTTGGTGTTCTGGAGAAGTCCCACAAAATATCACCATACATTCAACAAGAGCTTTTGTATTCCAGCTTGCTGAGGCCTGCCATCCCATACAAAGGCAAGATGATGGATGATGAAGGCAAGAGGGATGTCTGAACTCCTTTTAAGCATAGCCAAGGGGCATTCCTAGGGCAGTAAGGTCACTTTAGATATGATTGGCTTAAGCAAGTGGCAATTATGTTAGTATATTCTCAATTGGTTTGAACTAGTAAGGGCTAGCTAAGACTATGGCTTTTTCATTTTGGGGCAGGCCTGGACAAGCCTCAGGCTTTGTCCTTATTTGGTTATTACCTTGAGCTGCTGTGAGGCTGTGGGGGCTGGCTCAGGCCTTGTATAACTTGAGCTGCTGTTCGGGGCATTAAAGATTGATTGTACTTTGTTTGTGACTTCCTCAGAAACTGCCTGCTCAGTTTCAAGAAGCAGGAACTGAGGCCTAATTCTTAACTGGGTCATTTGGAGCCTGCCATGGTATTTTCCAGGCCCTCTTACTCTGTATTTTGACCAGTTGTAGATTTCTGTGATGGTCTATATATTCTGGGGAGA